CCCGTTCTTGCACATGTGCTAAGTAGCTGGTTGGGCAGCTGAAGATGTTTTCCAGGACAGACACCAACAGCTCTGTGGGACGCGACATTCAGGTTCTAGCAGCTTACTGGGAGACAGAATGCTGTGTTGTGGAAATGCCATGGGTCCATGGCATAGCTGAAAGCTGCTCCTGGCAGCAGGATCAGACCTATCTGTGGTGGTAAAGGGTGACTTTCCTGCTGGAAAACATGGCTGGAAGCATGCATAGCAAGTTTAGGAAGGGCAGGGTGCAGAGAGAAGGGCTTTTGCACAAGTGGCAAAACGAATGATTATGGTTTCTGAACTCAAAAGTCATGCACGGATCACTGAGTGATAGCTGAACTGAAGAGGTATCTACGAAACATTATCAAAATGTTGTCCTAGGATGTGGTATGAGCAAGGACCCTCCTGCCCTTCTGGATAACCAAGTCCTGGAGATTTTTTGCTGCTGTCTAATTCTCAATCAATGGTCAGAAATGGGAACACCCAAAAATTCCCCAGAATGTGTGCCCTAAATCTATCCACAGATTAAATTCAAATGGGTTAAAACTTCACCACAAGTGGAAAATACTTTGCCATCAATCATTTGAAGCAGCAGCAAAAGGCCAAACGTGTTCCCTGTCTCATACGTAACATTACTGACTTCAAAACCGAAGCACCCCGCTTGCGGCCTCCCTACCCTGGCTGAGGTTTTCCACGAGCTAAAATGCAGAATGACATCATGAAGAGGGCATGTGACAAGGCACAGGCAGGTCACCCCTTCCACAGGATGAACAAGGTGCAGAAACAAACAGACATGGAGAAGTGTCGTATTTTTGTTTCCCTGTACAAACCAAATGACAACTGGCTGCCAGATGAAATGTATGTTTCAATCACTCTGTCAAAATGCAGGCAATGCATTTTGCAATGGAAGTACACTGAAGGACTAAAAAATAATAAACCAGAGTATCTCTCACTGCTGGAAGGTACAGAGCCACATCTTCTCGCCAAGGGAGAGGCATCAGTGCAGAAAAACAGGTAACGTCCTGAGCTCCTTGCCCACTCCACTTCCCTTTAAGCCCATAAAATATTCAGTGGATAAGAATAAAAAATCCTCTTGGAGAGAGAGCCAAAGCTCACTCACCTGGCAGAAGCCTGTCTGAGCCAAAACCACCCTGCCAGGCAGCAAATACAAATCCCTGTCCTGCACTTGCACTTGCAGCTCAGATTCATCACGCCCGACCTGCTCCACCTGCAAGAAGATGAGACGAACCAAAATTAACCCAAAACAAAGGGTTTCCCAGATAACTTGTTTGGCAGCATATCTTTCTTCCAGGTGAAAAGAAAATCAGTGGTTATGGTACCCGCACTGTGACTGGCATGCGCCACAGCTGCAGGCAACCAGCAGTGAAGCCTGAGCAGGAGCAATTATTAGTTGAGTTAGGGAGTGCATCAGCCAAAAGTCACCCAAAGCATTATAAACAGATCCAAAGGAGAGACCCTTTGGCTCTGCGGATGCTTTGCAAAGCCTAGGGAAGGAGATGCATTAAAGCATTATGTGGGCAAAGCAGGGCTTGGACAAATTGCTTTGACCCTTCCAGGGGGTGAAGGTACCCTGCGGGAAAGCTCTTGCAGCAAGTTGTCCCCATCGTTCTAAAGGGCATGGGACCAACCCCAAAGCAGCCGGACCCCGTGGCACTACTTGTTGGAGGATTGTCGCTGTCATCAGAGAGGTGATCAAGGGAGACATCCTTGTTTTGACAGAGGTCTTCCGAGAGCAAAATCGGCTAAGAGGTCTCTAAGTCTAAGCTGACAGCACTTTCAGTGCTTACTAGCACAGGAGACATCAGCAGAAACTCTACAGCAGCCAATTTTGGCTTCAGCCCACCGTCTCCTGGCTGAAGCACATTTCCCCTTTCCCCCTTCACCAACCTGCAAACAAGATCACAAGGCGACTGAACGCATTTGGAAGCATTTGTCGGAAAACAAACGCCTTGGTGACAACATCCTCATTTGCACCTAAACCAGCGTTTATCACAGTCATTCCCGGGCCCTTGATGGACATTTCGCTCAAAGACGAACAGCAGCAGCCCCATGGGCATTGCACTTCCCTGGAATCCAGGAGAGCACAGGGAAAGCATCGCTCTGAGGAAGAACCAAGCAGCACGTGCAAAGCAGAAGAGTTCTTGCACAAGACTGGGTAAACATTCTTATGCCCTGGGCCTGGAGACTGAGAAACAGCAACGCAGAATTGGGCTGATCCTTCCCAAACTAACTCCCACTGGCTTTTTCTCGGCAAAAATTGGGCAGAAAATGAACAAGGTGGGCTGCTCTATGCCCACACACCGTCTGCCAGCAAGAGTAACCACCAGGGCTGAGTTGCTGCTGGTGAAAACCATCTGCAGTCAAGTTGGGGGATTCCTCCCTGCTCCCAAACCTTGCTAGAGATGCACTTGTTTATTTAAACAAGGGTGCAGAATGAATGTGCAGAGGGTGTTGTGCCCAAATCCCGGTGTACACCAGCATTCCCTGCAAAGCCTACAGCGCACGCAGATAACCAGTGGCAAAAATGGCATTAAAAGCATGCACCAGAGATAGAAAATCGGTGTTAGTTTTCTACAAGGAAATTGTATTCCTGCCAGATTACAGAAGAGATGCATGGGAACACCATGCTGCATGACACAAAGGGTTTATCTCTGTTTTGGTCACCTGGCTGTGGCTCTTAGGGGAGCACTCTGATACCCTGGCATCAGAAGTATAAGCTAACAGGCAACACACTGAGCTGCCTCCTGCAGGAGGGTGGAGGTTGATTGGGGTTAATTGCTCTTTTCAGAGGACAGAAAAGCAAAGCGATCCTTGCCTTTGCTTGGCTTGTGCTCCTCAAAAACCTCCTGTCCCTGTATTTTCAGGGTCTTAAAATTTGTCGTGTCCCCCCCCCAGAAGGACTAAAAGCTGAATCGAGATGGATCTCCATGACATCAAAGTCCACCCTCCTGGCAAAGACCTTGGTTTCTGTTTGTCCAGGACTCAATTGCCAGGTCCTTCTCCACCTTAAGCTGTCCTTTTCCAGCCTTTTCTGGTGGAGATCCCTCTTTCAAATTTCAGTCTCCTAGCATCTGCACTGGACAACATGTTAATGTTTACCCCTACACACAAAAACCAGGCTCCTGCCTGTGCTGCTACAGATGCCCTCAAACTAAACAACTCAATATTCACTAACAAGTCAAGAGAAGACATTTTTACTGGCACAATGTGGGAAGAGCCATTAGCTCCTTTTGCTTCAAGCAAGGCAGCACACCAGCAGCTTTCATCTCTTTTACTGACTTCTTGCTCCAGACTAGCACAAGTTTGCTGTGTTAATCTCTCTGATGGGCATCAATGGTAAAGGTCCACGTGCGCCCAAGCAACAGAAGCTTCACCACCCAAGGTAGATGCACACAATGCACCCACAAACCAGTGCTGCAGGGCAAGGGGACAACGTACATAGGGGTTCAGCCTCTAATTGGGAACAGCACTAACCCTGGAAATTGCCCAAGGATCTCATCCCAGAAAGACAAAGTTCAAACGGCAAGTGTGGGTACTCAAAGTCTCCAGGAGACCACCGTCACTCCTTGGCTACGCTTCTCCAGAAAGCGAAGGCCAAAGAATCACTGTAGATGTACGGTACCCGAGTAGTTTAGGAGAAATGCAGCTGAAGTGCTCAACAGTGGGAAATTTGGGATCCACAATCATTAGTGCAATGCTCAACAATGTGTGGTTGCACTGCACACGGCAATCCCCGTAGCCTTAGTGCCATCACAAGCCACCACCCATCTTAAGAAGCTGGTGCTGCCAAGCAGATAGTCACAGGGAAGGAGAAGAACAAGACAGCACAAGTGCCACAGTCTGGAGTTAACACTGATGCACAAGAATTTTGTCCTGTATCGATCCCCTTGGTCCTCTCCTCCAGAGTAGGCAACACTCAGAGCACCGCTCCATGTCCCTGCTTGCCCAGACTTATTTCTCAAGACAGCATGCTTTACCAAAGCACAGCTCTGCTGTGATAAAAATGAAACTATGTTTAGCAAGATCCATGCAGTAAGTCAGACACTACAATGCAGAATTCAGCAGATTCCATTTAATGTCATGTGCATATATCCATACATTTACTTATGTCAATGGTTTTGATGTGCATGCTGCCAGGTCTTGAAAAATCTACTCGTTCATTTACATCTGGGAGTATGAATTCTCTCCAGCAATCATCTCAGGGTGGGTTTGCTTTTTTTAAAATCAACTTTCAACTACACAGTTGCAAAGATAATACTGTGAATTGAAGGTAAAGCATGGAGAGCTGATCCCTAAAACTCGCAGACTGCTCTGCAAATGCTGTGGCAAAGGGTTTTGCCAAGAAGCATGGGGCATGAAGAAATCCCCTCCCTCCCAGGGAGAAAGAGAACTGATAAGAAACGGGTTAGTCTTGTTTAGCATCCCAAGCAACAGCTAGGCAAAGCAGCAGCAATGACACCCCATCAATTTTTCAAGGAAGTTTTTGGCCAAGGCTGAGGAACAGGGCAGAGCAGTAGAGATAAACCATCCCCCAAGAAAAACAAAAGAGGAAAGAAACGACACTTTCATCACCACATACTCACAGAAATTTAACTTCTTTTTTTGGTGGTTTAAGTGACAGGACTGATAGATCCTGGGGTCATGGATGTTTACCCTGCAATGCACTCCATTCCAGCAGTTTTGGGGTAGATTTTTCAAGCCCTGGTGATGGCGCCCAGGGAAGGCTTCTCCCATCCGCTCCTGGCTCCCACACGATCAGAGTCTATTGCATAGCATTTATTTCATATAAGGCACTGTTATGCCCAATGCGAACAGCAATTCAAAAATCAATGCAGTTTACATACAGTCCAAATTTGATGGCCTACAGTGCAATAACACATAGAATTAAAGGCAAGGTTTGGAAGAATAAACCCAGCTTTAAATTTAGACTTAATATTAAAAAGATAAAGGAAACTACATTTTTCAAAAGCCTTTTTATTTTCCTTCACCATTGTTGTTTTACAATACAAATATCACCTTGTGAATACACAAAAACCCTACAGAAGATAACTCTGCTTCACGTAAAATACAGAATGGATATATATATTTATATATATATTTTCTCTTCTTCATTCTTTAAAAAAAGCTATTTTGTTCTGCACATTGGCAAGTTTCGGATAGAATGCTTCCCCAAACATACAGTACGTATGGTAGGAGTGAAATTTATAATTACATGCAGTTTCTGCACAAATATTTTAAAGAAATAGATTATCTTTGTTGTTTTTCAACAACATTTCAATACTGGATGGAGAAATCATTTGTAGTTCACTCAGTGATCATTTGTAAAATTCTTAAAAAAGAGAAATTCATGGCTGTTTTTCTTTTTAAAATACAGCTACCAAGTAGACAATAAAGTGATACGTTTTAGTTTGACCTGCCCACAATGTGTGAGCAAGATCGGACCCTTTTCCCCCCCACACACACATGGCAATTTCAACATTATAAGCAAATTTCCAGTTTAGCTATAAATGCAAAAATTAGTAATTATACAGTATATATAATTCTGCTTTCATTGAATACTTTATTTTAAATAAAAACATTTAAGACTGCCTACTGACCATACAATCAAGACAAGAAAGGCACTAGAAACATAGACAAATCTCTCTCTCCCAAGAAGCATTTTCTTTAAATTTTAACTCTATTCTCTGACATGTAAAAATCTTTTTAAATTTTTTCATACACATTTTGAAAAATAAAGTTAGGAAATACTTAGAAAATCACTTTACAATTTTTTTTTTTTTTTTTTTTTTTTTTTTTTTTCCATTTTTCGAGACAGTCAACGCAGATTCTACAGAATCAAGATTAGCAAACCTTCCTGTGTCTATCATCTCATTCATAGTGCGGTGCAACAGGTAGAAAGATTTCTCAATTTTACCCAAAGCAGGTATTTAGAAACCTTCATATAGTCATTTGCTAGAAAATGGCTTACAGCCCAATCTTTGGGGCAAGAGATATGAAAAGTATGTTTTCCCAAGAAAATAATATGCTTTATTCCCAGACGTGACTGGAAAGACCAGAACTTATGATATAAAAGCTTTCGCTTATGCTGTCACATCATATACAAAGGAACACGGTGATGGGTAAATGTAAATCCCAAATCTATTAACAAGAAATGTATAACAGTGCAGGATAAGTTAAATTTTCTTTATTATTGTCCAACGCAGATCCTTTGGAGAGAAAAAAAGATCACAGTGCTTACCAGGTAACTGAATAGGTTAAGTCAAGGGAACTGTTAAAAGAAAGGGTTAGGGAGTGGTTGGATTTTGTTTATGGCATCTTCTCGTATGGAGTTCTTAGCACTTGGGACAGGTCCTTTACCCCCCATTTTGTCCATCAACACATTGCTATGTGTCATTCACCAGGCGGCTGTATTTCACCTGCCTGCCCCGGTACAGCACCGGCCAGGGGAAGGGCCAGTAGTACGAGCGAGGTACAATTCCTTGGACATTCTTTTCAAAGTACTGGAAGGGCTTGTACCACCAGACCCTTGCAAGGAGGTTAGTTTGGGAAGCTTCTTTTAGCACCTGTACAAAGATAATCAGAAAAAAGAAAATTACAAAAGAGCATGTCACTTCCATGACTTCACCATACATCACTTGCTACTGTTTGTCAGTGGCCTCTTGCTTACAGCTGCTTCCAAAAATCTCGATATCTAGAAACACCTCCCAAACAGATCTGCATGGACAAAGGTCAGGAGGAGCCAAGTTACTTTTCCATAGCCTCCCTGCGTGCACACCAAATGTTGCTGCCAGGTGTGGCTCATCCTCGTTTCCAAGACCTCAGCTGTTCAGTGGTCCCATAGGAAAAGAATGAACAGCCCAAAAGATCAGTCTTTCCTCTCCTTTGGGCATGGAAAAAACACAACCCACAGCACAGCTGTTTCCATAAGTATCTCTGAAATGACACATAGCTCAAGAATTGCTTCAGAACCTGGCTCTGTGCCTACAAAGCAATGACCAAGGGATGCCTTAACCCATTCAGAGGAGGGAATGAACCCTGCCCTGCCCTCCACATGCTCTACATGTCCATTCCCTCCCCTCCTCCTTCCCCCCCGTTTTGCTCCGCCTAGCCAGGACCAAGCCACAGCAGAGACACAAGGAGTGGGCAGGCACCGAGGAAGTTATCGAAGTACCCTGCTGCATGTTTTAAATGCCAGAGCAGGGAAGCATTGCATCAGCCCACTGGAAAGTGCAAGCATGGGGCTTGCATGTTAAGCTTTCCTTCCATGTCAAACTCACACATAAAATAATCTGCTTTAGCTCTAGCGGGCTTTTGCTTTTAATTTTAAGGTCAGAGACAAGCTACAGCCCTCTGCACGTGGAGCAGCACCAGGAAGGAGAGACTCGCACACAAATGCATGCTCAGGTAAGGGTCCTGGGATCAGCACTTCCCAACATCTCAGCATCTCGGTGAAGCAATGTCGAGCCATCTTCTGAGTCACATCAAGCAGCAAAACAGGTAAATGTCCATACAGCAAGGCAAAGGGCTTTTCTGAAGCAATTCCCCATTAGCACTCATGGCAATCCTCACTTCAGTCCCTTCCAGCTTGGAAGTACGGTCACTCAGTGCCATTGTTTTGACAGAGCCCAGAAGCACATTCAAAGCCTGGAAGTCAGTCTGGTGCTGTATGACAAGAGTTATGAAGTCAGGGCACTGATTGTTACTGAATACAGTGGCTCCCAAACTAACTGAACATCAAAGTGCATTCTTTGCCATTAGGCATTTGGTGGTAAAAATGTAACACAGGGCTTGACTGTGGTGTATTGCTTCAAGTAGCATTAAAACCACTGGAATAATATGACATGGTAGCTAGAAGACCCAAATATGATCTAAAAATCTGTAGCATCACAATATTAACTAATTTCCTATCATCAAACTAGGTGTTTCTTAAACATAATTAACTGGAGTCATATGCAACAGATAAGCAAAATATCTTTCTCCATGTTGCACAGAAAATATCTGGACACCAATCTGCTGTAACAGACCTAAGAGTAAGTTTCTTTCAACTCACTACGTCCTTCCCATGCATAACAGACTTGCGTATCTTCTCTCACGTTCCTCATTATTCGACATCTCTTATTGATGTCGTTCACTGGCAGGAAAGTAAGAACAACAAGAATGACATGAGACCTCATTTAGACTTCTTCATTCAACCTCTGAATCATTTATTGCTGCTTTCTGGTTGAGTACTACAAACAATGCTTTGCTCCTCCTAAGCAGCTCCTCATCCTCAGTATTTCCATCAACACCCTATTTTTCATGCCTTCTCAGACATGGGCCTTAGGACAGGAGCAGCCTGTTCCCTGTTGCACTACCCTCCAAAAGGAAAACATTTCCCTTGGTCAGGGGAACTTACCACTGCTTTGAAAAATCAGTTCATTTTTAGTGAGGCCTCATACCATTCTTCAAGAGACCCGTCATCTAACTAAAGGGTGCAAACCACAAAATACAAGGAAAACCCAGCTGGCTTAAAAAAAAAAACCAAAAAACAAACCCCAAACACTTCTAAATGGTTTGCTCTGCTATCACAAAACTGGCCAACCGGCCCAAATGCAGACGGACTTCAGAAACTGAGGTTACACAGCGGAAGCCGAGAGGCCTGGCTGCCTGTGGGTAGACCTTCAGATATTTCTGCAGTGAAGACGCAAGGTGAACCCAGCTGATGATGCCTCTTTCTTTGCTGGCAACCCAATGTGAGGGGGGAAGAGAGGGATGCTCCACAGGACATTCAGTGGGTCCACTCCTACTGCTGCAGAAAGGCTCAAGGCAAAGTGTGGATATTCAGACATCACCACACTGCAGCAAGTGGAGCGACACGGATCCAAAGACTGGGACAAACTCACTTGCTGGTTGGCCATTGTGTGATACCACCAGAAAAGTCTTGTAGTGATGTAGTAAGCCACCACCACATCCACAGTGTAGTGGTCATGAGCAAGGAGGATGCAGAACATTCCAACCATGCTGAGTGCCCAGCAAAGCCAGTGATACCACCAGAGTCGCCGTGGGGAATCTGGAAAGAAGCACAACCAGTGATTATTTCAAAGCATAACGCTATCAGCATGCAACACTATTGCTATAATCAGCAGAGGACACAGACTACAATCTTGGTTGAGTAGTGCAATGCCTGCAGTAAGATTAAGAGCAGGAAT